TGTGCTGACAGCTCAGAGCCTGGAGCCTGCTTCAGCTTCTGTCTCCCTCTCTCTCTGACCTCTGAGGCTCACACACACACACACACACACACACACTCTCTCTCTCTCTCTCTTTTTCTCTCTCAAGACTAAATACATTAAAAATTAAAAGAAAATTTTTTTAAGAATCTATATAATTTTAACTTGCATTTCCTAAACTTATTTGACTATGGAAACTCCCCCCCCGCCCCAGGTACTTTATAAATTTTGGACACACTAGTTCCACCATTCATTTGGGAAACAATGACTTAAGTTATTTTCTTTTATAGAAATGCAAGAGAATTACTTTTATGAGAATATATGTAGAGAGTTAACCATGCTAAGGATTAATGCAGACATTTAGTTTTTTTTTTTAAGGTCAAAAGGTTCTGCTACCAGAGATAAGGATATGCGGCATTCTGTAATCATCTTCTCCTAAGAACAAATTATAGCATGTAGGTATAACCAATATTGAATAACAGAAGTCCAGAACCCTACAACATGTCTGCACTCCTATTTACAAAAAGAGTAACTATGACCCCAAGGACACCACCACTCCCCTGGTTTTCTTCTATGTCATTGGCCACCACTGTTTAGTCTCCTTCTCCTTTTCATCTCCCTAACCCTTTATTGTCAGATTCCACAGAGCTCAAACTATGGACCTTACCTTTTCTCTATCTCTACTGTGTTCCTCAGTAATCTCCTACAGTCCCATGACTTTTTTAAATTTAATATTTGGGGACAATTGTATATTCACATGCAATTGTAAGAAATAATATATATTGATTCCATGTACCTTTTGTCCAGTTTTCTCCAGTGATAACATCTCACAAAATTATAGTACAAAATCATAATCAAGATACTGACAGTGATATAATATACCAATTAATTCATATTACTCTGGTTTTACTTTATATTCATTCCAATGGCATTTAACAGTGTTCAATGATACTTACAGCCTAGAAACTCCCCTAACCTCACACAAGTGAATGACTATGGCATCTCCATTTGGATGTCTAAGAAGTATCTCAAACTAAAACATGTCCCAAGTCAGAGTCTTCACCTTCCCTTCCAAATGTATTCTTCCTAGTCTTCCCCATCTCAATTAATAACAATAATGCCATCTTTCTAGTTGCTCAGAGTAATAACTATGAAGTCATCCTCTTCTCTTACTTCACATCCAAACCAACAACAAATTCAAAATATACCCCAAATCAAACCTCTTATCACCCACACTGCTAGTTGCCTAGCCTAACCCTCTGCCATCTCCTACCAGATTATTACAATAGCCTCCCAACTAATCCTCTGAAATTTGCCCTTGGTCTTCTAGAGTTTATTCTCAAGACAGGGGCTAGAGTAATATAAACACTCTTCTCTATTTAAGGTTATTTGTTGGTTGTAGTTTTTACTGAGATATAAAAGACTTCACTATTCAAAATCTTCTAATAAACAGCTTCTTATCTCAGAGTAAAAGCCAAATTCACACATGGCCTACATTACCTCCCACGCCCTGCCTCCTACTGCTCTCTCTCTCTTCCTCACTCCTTTACAACCAACCCAGTCTCCTTGCAGTTCAGCTTTTCACTCCAGTGTGGACTCAAAGGCCTTTTCTGACCACCAACTTTCAAATGGAAGCCTCCCACCTCCAACCCTGTACTCCTTATTCCCCTTCCCTACTCAATTTTTCTCCCCAGTATTGACCACAATCTAATATACCATATGTTTTATCTACTTTTTATTGTCAGTCTTTCAGCACTAAATAAAACATGAGCTCGAGGAGGGCAGAGATTTCAGTTCATTTTTCTAGCACTTAGAATCGTGCCAGGCACAAATCAGATGTTTAAGAAACCAATGAATAAATAAACGAGGCCCAAAACAGCAAGGTGTTTTGCCAAAATGTGACACAAATATGGCAAGAGTCCTAAGTCTATGTAGCTTAGGAATCATTTTTTCTAAGAATGGTGATGGACTCAAACTGAACCAATATCACTTTTTATTCAGTGGTCACCAAAACAAACATGCATGAAATGACAATTTCTGATGAAGTGAATAAACTTGATGGTAAGGAGGGATCAGACTCAAGCTAAAACCAAATTAAAATTCAACCACTGCCTATAATAAGCAAATTTTACATCAACTGCCTTAATGTTTTATTTAAACCAACTTTTTAAAAAAGGAGTTACAGGTGATAGAACTTTAAGAACTTAAACTTCAAGAAAATAAACTGGATAACACTATAAGATAGAGTCCTAGGAAAGAACACAATGCAGTACTCCTACATTGTTCTATCAAGAATGTAGTTTATCAGGGGACCTGGGTGGCTCAGTCGGTTGAGTGTCTGACTCTTGATTTCAGCTCAGGTCATGATCTCACGGTTCATGAGTTTGACCCTGCATCAGGCTCTCTGCTGGCAGCCCAGAGCCTGCTTGAGATTCTCTTTCTCTGTCTCTCTCTTCCCCACCCCTGCTCGTGTGCACTCTCTCAAAGTAAATAAATAAAACATTAAAAAAATAATGTAGTTTATCATATTTTTGAGCTTTAACCAAGGTAGAGCAAAACAAAGATGTATAAACAAAAAGGAACTTATGCTAAAAACAGAAAGAAGTTGTTGTTTCTGGGCAAAATTTTAAAATTTTTAAAATTGGGTAGAAAGAGGATGAATGACAAAAATTTTCTAGAGACAGATAAGGAAATAAAGACTAATATATCACCATGTCAAATTATTAAGAAACAAGCCACTTTGGGAGCTTTTGGAAAATCATTCATTTACAGTACAAATTATTGTGGAAATGTAACACTAATGGGTTCAACTTATTATTCTTATTATTTACAAGGAGCACATTTTATAATAAGTAGTCATCTAAGTTGGCTTTAAATCTCTTTCAAAGTAAAATTAAAGAAGTTTTGATTTTAGAGTAAAAAACATAACTGAGGTCATACTTTCAGAGGCTCCTAACCTCACAGCAGGTAAGATCACAAAAAGCATTTTGCTTGTTTTTAAAATTCAAGAAATTGGTATACTATAGTGACCTTTCAATTGTTTTGGAAGAAAAAATGCAAGATGCATTAAGTAGACACAGCTTTCAGTTTGGAGGCCAAATGATAACAAGGCCTCCATAAAACAATTAAAGCAATGCTCCTATTTATATGATAAAAATCTATAGCTTTCATATGAATTCTTTATTGGTAAATAATTCCTGAGGCACTTAAACAATACAACTTTTATTAAAAGAAATTAATAGCATCAAAACTGTTTATATCTATATTTAATATAGCTAAAATAAACAAATGTTCAATATTTAAAATATACATATGTATGAGGAAATATATATATAAAATATAACAACTGCATTATTGGCCCCCATCATTTTTAATGTTACCTTTACCCAAAGAGACTACATTAATGGTTAAGTGGCTATTTTGTATTTGACGTACAAACATGTGACTTTAAAACTTGTTTTAAGGTCTGCAAGAAGAGGTTCTGCCAATTCTTTACACTTTAAAATTCACAATCATTAAGATAATATTAATAATAAATATCCCAAAGTAAGACAGAGGATATAATAATGTCTAATGGTCTGACCAACAGCCAAATTAAAAAGCTATAAATAGGCAGCTATAAAGAAATCCATAGAGAATTCCAGGGAATCTCTTGGAGTTCTTAACAAAACAAAGCAAACACTAAACAACAGTTTTCAAAAAAAGAATATAAAAATAGACATCATAAAATAGACATCTGTAAATCTGGAGAACATAAAACCAAGCTACCAAAATTAAATTTTTTTTAATTCAAAAATCTGAGAACTGGTATTGCTAAAACTCTATAATAAAGTTAACACTGAGTAATATATTTTAAATGATAGAAAAATAACTGCAATTTGGAACATAAGTTTAGAGACCTGTTGTTCCAAGGACATAAAAATAACCATGGTTTCCTAACAACCAGAGAGCTTTTGTATTCCTTGGACTGCATTCATGCTAGATAAAGATTAAAAGGTAGCAGCCAAAATGACTACACTTCAACTTGGATGTTGAAGCACTTATCTGAATGGGTTTTCTTGGCCACAAGTGACCCACAAGCCTAAGATCAAGAGCCAAGCCCCCAGCGGGAATTGTGCTCAATTTGGTGGGCTTAAAACCATCTCTGGCTAAATCAGCATCAGCCTTACAGGAGGCCAGCCATGAAGGAAGGGAGTCTCCCCAAAATCTGATTTCTTGAGACCACAACCTAGAGCAGGTCCCACAGTCAAATTATTCACATTCCTTGGAAAGAGAGAACAGGCATCAGTTGTGTCCATCGAAGGGGGACACTGTCCAGGTGTACCCTGGACATTTTTTGAAATCTCTGGGCTGCCTCTGCATCTGAAAAATAAGAAAAATAGTACAATGACAGACAACAGATGAGGAAAAAGACAATCATCTGGCCTAAAAGCTTAAGACTTATAAGAAATTAAGAAAGTAGACAAAACAGACAAAAAGACAAACAGCTATATCGTTTAGAATGTATTATTCTGAAGGCAAGTACAGCAGAGAAAAACGCAAATTATTTTAAGCAAAGTAAGAAATGACCGTAGCAACAAAAGTTATTTTTGGAGAGAGCCAACTGGGGGAAAAAAAAAAAAAACAAAAACATATGTTAAGATATGTCAACCTGACACAAAGATAAGGTGGAATAAGAATCTAGTCCCATTTGAAGCTGAAAATTGCTGAATAATGAGAGCTAGTGTCATGAACTTGGCTGCTTAACTGCCTTTGTGTAAGAAAACATCTCAGAACTTTGAACTTAGGAAATTCCAACTTGTCTTGCACCAGGTCACGAGCTCCAAAGAGCAGGAACCTATTTCAACAAGCAGCTTTAAAAAAAAACAAACAAACAAACAAAATACTTTAATATTTTTCATTTCTATTAATAATACATTTTAAAATGCAATAGTGCTAAAATCCATCAAATTAAATTGCACTGAATTAAAAATTAAACTTACTCAGAAAGATGTTCAGAAGTTGGGATACAAACAGAAACTGAAATTAGAAGAAAAGTTTTATATTTAAAATGGCATATGCAATATGAGTGAGAATAACGATTTAGTAAAGAGCTCATATTGTAGCTGACCAAAAATACTGGGACAAATTTCAAAAATCCAAAGTAATGCAATTATAAATACGTACCTTTCTCTATTACAACTTGACAAGTATGAGTTTCATGTTGACTTAAGTGTGTGGCCATATTATCTAAGCCAGAAACATCAGCTATGAAATCACAATTAAGGCACACTAGAGTAATGCCCCTATAAAAAAACAAACAAACAAACAAACAAACAGTATAAAAGAAAAGGTTTTCATCTTTTATAAAAATCCATATACAAGTTCAATGATTACTTTTCTATAATTTGCTTTTTATGTCATAACTGTCACTCCCATTTTTATTATAGAAACTTGATATAACTGAAATGATTCTCTAGAAAATGGAAGAGCCATATTCAAGTTATACTACTATTTATTTACAGAAAGTATTTTTGCTTTATAACTGTTGTTTAATGTTTGTTTATTTTTGAGAGAGAGAGAGAGAGAGAGAGAGAGAGAGAGAGCAGGGGAGGGGCAGAGAGAGAGGGAGACACAGAAGCCGAAGCAGGTTCCAGGCTCTGAGCTGTCAGCACAGCGCCTGATGCAGGGATCAAACTCACAAACCATGAGATCATTACCTGAGCCAATGTTGCATGCTCAACTGACTGAGCCACCCAGGCACCCCTGCTTTATAAACTTTTACAGTTCATGTCAGTTGCTAAAACCTGGGTGACAAGAGATCTATAGCCCAACCTTGGCTGTACTAACAACATGTGTCTCTTCAATAAATCACAATCTATTTGTGCCTCTGCTCATCTGCAATGCAAGCATACAGTATTCATTCACTTAATGTATGTTTACTAAGGCTTCTTGATACATACTGTAATATTATACTGTATTGTGATTATAATGATGACCAAAAATATAGTCTGTGCTCTGAAAGAGTTTATAATCTAGTGTTTCACTTAGGTGATGAAAAAATTAGAAAAGAAACATTAAGGCTTTAAAAACAGATCATGTTGTAGCTGCCATCAATTGTGTACCATATGTTAAAGGTATTTCCACTATTCTCATTTAACGCTGTATTAACTAAAGTAGTTAATTCACCATAAAAGTGCAAAGCTTGAGGTACTTAGTATATCAGCACTGGCAACTGGTCCACTTGCTGGAGCCAAAATTATGAGTTCCCCTAAGAAAACCTCACTGGGTGTTGTAGTTCCTAAATGAAATCTGTAATGATTACAAATTTTCAAAAATATTAGGAAAGAATTCTCAAAGCCATTGATACTTTTTGTTGAATAGTTTTTATACTCATTGGATCAAACTGTGTAGCATTTGCTATTTGAAGTATTTAAACACAATTGGCATATTGCAGGATGTGACACTGGCCTTAAGATTTAAATTGTGTTTAAACATCTGATTTTTTGTTGAAAGGTATTCTAAAATATTATTAAGCCTGCAAATATATGGAAGTGTTTCAGAGAATTTAGAAAATGACTATATGCTTAATTTATTATATTTACTAGAGTTAAGCACTTGGGATCTTGTGTGTCAAGCATCTGAAGTGCTGTTTAAAAAAGTCAAATATATTAAAAGTATAAATGATGTTAAGTTGTTAAGGAACCTGAACTATAAATGGGACTGTTTAAAAAATTTATTCAACTTAAATGAACTTTTTATCAAACATTAATTAAAAGCTCTCTTGAAAGTGATTATTAAAATGTACTAGGGGCACCTGGGTGGCTCAGCTGGTTGAGCCTGTGACTTCGGCTCAGGTCATGACCTCACGGCCTGTGAGTTTGAGTCCCGCTTCAGGCTCTGTGCTGACAGCTTAGAGCCTGGAGTCTGCTTCGGATTGTGTCCCTCTGTCTCTGCCCCTCCCCCACTCACCCTGTCTCTCTCCCTCTCTCTCTCTCTCAAAAATAAACATTAAAAATGTTTTTAAAAAAGTACTAGATTTCCAGATGGAATATTTTAAAGTTAAACTTAAAAGCTTAAGGGAAGTTAAGATTTAAATACTTTAATAACCAATTATATAGTCTTCTCTATTAAACGACCCTTGCAGAAACTAAAAGCAGTCTCAATGGTAAGCAGTAGCTAAATTACTCTTCCACTAGTCATAGGTCCTGGGACCTTCACTAAACAAGGATTCTTAATTAGAATTTGTAATCAAACTTCTTGATCTGGGAAGACGTGGGGGAATGGGACTACTATATAGAGTCATCAGTAAAGAAGGCTGGTCTGCACTGAGAAAGGAAAATGGAACACAAGTCCAGAGAAAATATTAAAGACAAGATCATCCTGCCTCAGCAGCTCAGACTAGAGAGAAGCAATGTTAGCAATTGGTAGCTTTCTATTTCCGTCATTTGTTCTGGTTCCACCTCCTCCTCTTATGGGTTCATGAGATTCTTTGGAATCCTGCTTATAAGTTATTTTTGCTTAGGTAAAAAAAAAAAAAATAGACTATGTGATGTGATCATTGTTACCGTCAATTTATCAACAAAGCATAAATATAGCCTTGAAGTTCATCACATAACTTAATAAATTTAAGTGTTTTACCAATATACAAATACAAACAAATAACATATCTTAGATTGACTTATCTGAAGTTCTACTCTAACAATGTGATGTGTATTTACACCTAGATGTCATATTAGGACATTAAAACTGACCTTTGTTAAAATCATGTACTTCCTTCCCAAATTAATGTCTCCTGACTTGTCTTTCTTATGATGTTTCCTCTGATAGTAAAACTCAAACTATAGTTATCTCTGTCTCTTCTTCCTTAAAATAATAAGTATGGCAAGGATTTTATAATATTTATTTATACTGTGCCAAGCTAACAATTTTAGACATACATCTACCATCTTATCTAAATATTTTAACAACCCAAAAAGGCAGGTGCTAGAATTTATTATCTTTTTATAAAGTTAGCTTAGTAAACTACCAAGGATATAGAGCCGGTAAAGGTAAGCACTAGGTTTGAAACTGAGCACTTTGATTCCAGAGCCCATAGTCTCAAAGATAATATAATACTGCCTCATCATTTTAATTAACTAAATTGTTCATAACTACAATTGTCCCAATCTGTAGGATTCATGCATCTATAACTCATCCTATTGTTAAATCTTCCTTATCACTTGATTCTATATAAAATATCAACGGTTCTCCAATGTTCTCCAACTTACGTCCAAGTTCCTTATTTTCAACACTTTTATAATTTGGCTCTAGGCTTAAAACTACTGCTCAAGACTTCTTTCCTTATTACCATTAGCTGAACTTCATGCTCCATCCATTTACTACTAGCTATTCCCTCTGTATGCCTTGTACTTTCTCATTTCTGCACCTTTATTCACACTATTCCTTCTAACTCGAATGCCTCTGTGCACCTTCTATCAGTATAAATATTCATTCTTTAAAGCCAAGTACACCTAACACCTATGCAGATATTTCCAAGTAAAACAACCATTCTTTCCTTTGGGGAAAAAAAAAGACTCTACTGAACTTAACAAACACCTCCTTGATTTATTATAGTTTTATATGTTCATGCCTTATCTCCCGCCCAATAAACTATACATTCCCTAAAGGCTGGTTCCAAGACTAATTCATCACTGTCCTCTTCATAGGACCTGCTATATTATGTACCTGGTAGATGTATCATAAATAGCTAAAGAGTGACTATTCCAATCTAATAAAAGACTAATTACAAAAACTACTGTTCTACAATTATAAGTATGCTACGTCCATTCACAGAAATTGACCATTTTCAATTTGAGACCTATTCCAGTTGAAAGAAAAGTATTCCAGATCTTTAAAATCATATAGTTCATTTAAAACACATACACACAATTGAGCTTGAAACATTATGGTAAAAATCAAACTTAGGGGATCTGGGTGGTTGCGTCAGTTAATCATCCAACTCCTGATTTCAACTCAGGTTATGATCCCATAGTTGTGGGAGGTTCTGTACTCTCAGCACAGAGCCTGCTTGGGATTCTCTGCCCCCCCCCGCCCCTTCCCTGCTCATGTACACTCTCCTCTTTCTCTCTCTCTCTCAAAATAAATAGATAAAAACTTAAAAACATTTAGTCAAACTAAAATCTCATCTTTTGAAAAAAGCCCTTTTTATTCTTATAAAAATTTTTAGTAAGGGCAACATGTAATATAATCTTAATCTATTTCCTTGAATTCAGTAAATGTTTTAAAATCTGTACTAATGCATTTTAAAAGCTGAATCAAAATTTTCTCTCCCTGTAAGCCACTGATCCCTATATAATAGATGGGGCCTATTCTGTTCATATAAATCTGTTATATAAGACTTATATGACTGTTCATATAAGTCATTTTCAACATATACATTAACTTATTCAACAAATATTTACTGAGTACCTACCATGTGCCAGGCACTAATCCATTCCTGGCAGTGACAAAAATCCAAACCTCACATATTCTAGTGAGAGCACACAGAAAAATTTAAAAGTAAAGTATACAGTATGTCAGATGATAAAAGATGATCTGAATGAAAATGAGCATAAAAAGGAGATAGGGAGTGCTGGGGTAAAGCACAGGGGAGAAGAAATAATCTAAAAATCAAGCGGTCAAGGAAAGGCTCAGAGTTGCAACCCAAAGGAGATAACAGACTAATACATCTGGGGAATGAAACTAGTCATAGGAACCAGTAAGTACAAAGATCCTGAAACATAATATCATCCCTTTTTCTACCTTTTCCACTAAGTCAAAGCATCAAAACAAGTACTGGCTAACTTTATCTCTATATATTAGCTTGGTGCAGCAAAGACACTGATATTCCAAGTAGCAATGGCAACATGAACAAAATAAAGAACAAGAGAGTCCAAATGCTTCAAAAGAATATTTAAAAAAATGGTGTTCAGTGGATTCTGAGTTAAGTGTGTAGTACAATCAAAATGAATTATCAATATCTTTAGAAATACTCATCAACAGTTCTTTCTACATGGTAAGCGAGTTGTGCACTTATCTTTATTTGAAAAAGGAAAAATAAGAATTATGAAGCTACATAGTAATTTCAAGAATTCCAGTGGTTTAAGAAATTTACTTCAAAACTAAAAAAGTGTTAGTCACTTTACTAGGTATCTTAGGTTATCTTTTTAATAATCAAATATTGTTGGACAGCCTTATTTTTGTTCTCATTTTATAATATAAATGAATGAAGATATAACTTGTCACCACTGAAATTTAGCCAAAGAATATAGGCTAATCATACCTCTAATCTAAGGACATAATGAATAGAACTCTCCAATGTCCAGTAGCAATCATTTAGATTTCTAAATCGGGCATTCTGATATCAGGTTTAAAAATAGGACAACCACAATAAGATACCACTTCAAACCCACTAGGATGGCTGTAATCAAAAAGAGGTAATAACAAGTGTTGGCAAAGATGTGAAGAAATTGGAACCTTCATATATTTCTCATGGGAATGTAAAATAGTAAAGGTACTTTGTAAAACAGTTTGGCAGCTCCTCAAAGGTGCAACACAGAGTGACCATATAGCCCAGAAATTCTAATCCTACATATACACTAAAGAGAAATGAAAACACAAATCCAGACAAAAGCTTGTACACAAATGTTTATAGCAACAATATTCATAATGGCTTCAAAGTTAAAATAACCTTAATAGATAAACAAACTATGGTAGATGCATACAATGGGGTATTATTCAGCAATTTAAAAAGTGAAGTACTGAAATGCTACAACATGGATGAATCTTGAAAATATGTTAAATGGAAAAAGCCAATCACAAAGGATCACATATTGTGTCATTCCATTTATAAGAAATGTCCACAATACACAAATCTATACAGACAAAAGTTATATTAGTGGTTGCTTAGGGATGGGAATAGTTGGAAGGAAATGGGAATGACTATAAATTGGTACAGAGTTCCTTTTTTGGAATGACCACAATGTACTAAAAGTAACTGTGGTGATGGCTGCACAACTCTGTGAATACACTAAGAACTGTTAATTGTACAATTTAAAGGCATGAATTACATGGTATATGAACTATATTTCAATAAAGATGTCATATACATCACACATAATTGAAGTTCTACAATTTTTCAATAGAATTTAAAAAGATCAACTAGTTACCTGAGATCTTCTGAGTGCTTCTTAAAAATACAAAACCTTTTACTTGGACGATTACTATGAAAGCTGGAGAGACAAAGCAAATTTTATTTATTTTATTATACAGTAAGTCATATTAATTTATAGCTTTATTATCAAGCCTATACTTAAGTTTCTAGTTTTGAACAAAAGATCATAAGTAACAAAATAATGCTTATCATCACTGTTTAACTTGACATTTTATCTTAAATTCCACTTTATCTATTTATTTTTAATGACACATATTTCTCTAAGCATATTCTTGTATGACCAGTACTTCACCATTACATAAAAAAAAAAAAAGGAAATATGCAAGAATTTTTTTAAAAAGTAAAGCACATCAAACCAGTTTTTTTCATCTGTTACAGAAGAGTTGAAGACACTTTTAAATGTCTGCAAATAACATTTTTGTATAATATGAATCATGGTCAATAATCACTTTTTTAAACTCATTTTCCAATCTTAACATGCCTGTGTCAGGGGAGGGGGAGTAAAATCCAAATGATCTTTGAAGTAAACAGTCCTTCAGCTAAATGCCACTCTTTACCATTTGTGAAATCAAACATTTAAAGAGTTCCTTGCAATTACTAGTAGAGGTTTTTTTTAAAAAAAAAACAAATTTAAGCAGAACCCTAGAACTAAAATAATGCTTCCCCTAAACACAAAACAGAGAACCACTAACCATACTTTGTACACACGATAATAGCTTTCACATACCCTTTTAAATCTGGTAAAGAAAGCTTTCCTGTATTAGAAACCAGGATTAGCTTAGCACCGTATTACTGAAAAGTCGTAGACTAATAACATCAGCATCACCCAGGAGATTATTTAAAAATGCAAAGTCTTGTAACCCCCACAAACCTAAGTGAATTGATCTCTGGCAGAGGGGCCCACTAGAATCCATTTTAACAAGGTTTTCCGGTGATTCTTATTTATGCAAGCTAAACATTGAGAAGCAGCAGCCCCAGTAGCCATCATCCACGTCAATGGTCACTCTCAAATACAAGGTAACCATCACCAACACCGTATGTATGTATGTATCGGAAAAGAAATATACTGTCACTAGCTATAATCCCCAGAAAATATCTTCAGAAGACTTCTAACAGTCATTTCTTCAATTTGAGGATAAATACTATTAAAGAGTTTATAAATTCAAGACAACATCACAAAAATAATTGGGTTTTTTGTAGAACACAGTGGGTTAGAAAACACTGAAATTACATGCAAAAATTTGTGCACATATACTGTGCTTCTTCAGAAGAATAAATCCAAGATTTATCTGATTCCCAAAGAATGTGAATCAAAATAAGGTACTTTTTAATGAGATTTAAAAGTTACTCTTGAAAGCTATTTTTTCTTTCTCTTCAAACAGACTATTTTGGTTTTATTTATTTGGTAAGAGGAGAGGAAAAGATTACATTTTAGGGACTTTTTGATGGCTTCCATTTCTGTATATAACTTGTACCTTATTAAAATGTTGGTAATTTTATAATTCTAGTTGTCTGAATCCAGTTTATTTTTTTAATGTTTATTTATATTTGATGGAGAGAGAGAGTGCACAAGCAGGGAAGGGGCAGAGAGAGAGATGGAGACAGAATACGAAGCAGGCTCCAGGCTTTGAGCTGTCAGCACAGAGCCTCACGTGGGGTTCAAACCCATGAGCTGTGAGTTCATGACCTGATGCGAAGCCGGACGCTTAATCGACTGAGCCACCCACGTGCCACTGAATCCAGTTTTAATTTACAGTTCCCTATCTATGTAAAAGCTTATCAAGTCTCTTTATTCACATTTATTACATAAATTCCATTCTTTATTATTATCCTTGTATTATAGAAATGGAAAAGCGGATCCATATAGCTCACAAAAAGGAAAAGAAAAAGTAACAATCCTTCTTCTTCCTATTAGATCTGCATAAAGTTAATAACAATATAGGAATCTAAGAAAAGAGAAAAAAGTTAAAATTTTAAAAACAATATAGTAAAAACAGGTTAAAAACTAGATTCTAAAAGTTCACTACCTAGTTATACGACTGTATATAATTATCAAAACTCATTAAGCTATTCTCTAAAAATAAGTGAATTTTATTGTGTATAAATTATACCTCAATAAGGCTAGAGGGAAAAAACTCCCTTTGACCATATTTTCTTAATAATCTTAATTCAGTCTAATAACAATTTGTTTCTGATGAAACACAAAAGGAGCATCAACAATACTGATGGTATGTCTACAATTTAAGACCCTAGACTAAAGGTTGATGATACAAAAAGAAAGAGGGCAAGTTGTCTGCCCTATAAGTGAAGGTCCAAGGGGACAGTGGGGGGAAAGGGGAAAAAGTCAAACAGCAGCTGGCAAAGAATAAATGCCTAATAAATGGTTAAATGAATGCATACATATTTACTAATAATTATAAACATTAATAGTGACACATATGAAATTTTGTGGCTACCTGAAGGAAAAATGCAGATATATGCAATAGAAACCAGCTAACAATTAGGAGTTCATTTCAGTTAAGAAGGTCACTACTGCATTGCTCCAGGCAAAACAGAGAGCAAGATACAGAGGGATTTTCAAGAAAATAAGCATTAAAGGAGCTGAAAAGGTGGTTAGAAATTAAATATTGAAAGGTCTCATATTCTCCAAAAAATTTGAACTTCATGACTACTATTGTTAGGAATGCAAAGGATTATAGGCCAAAAAAGACCTGACCAGATATGCCTACTGCAGCAACAGAAGAAAGGAAAAATTGGAGAAAATGTGTGTGGTGGGAGGACGGTTTGTGGAAAAGACATCAATTATGATGCTATCACAATTATGCAACTGTTCTTCTAATGACTATTATTTAATGCCAATAAATCTATACAAAGCATATAATGAACTCAAGCATATCTTATAAAAATTAATTCAGTACTGTCTTCCTCACTGTATATTTCTTTTTCCTTGGAAAAATTTTAAATCATCCTGTAAAGCCTAAGTGAAATGTCCTTTATAGAATACCTCCCCTTATTTCTTGCTTAAAGAACTCATTCTTACCTTCTCCGTGCTCCTATAGTCATTTGTTTACCACATTTAGTTAGGTAAATTATCTCTATCCTACTAAACTGTGAAAATTAAAGGCAAGGACTTTATCCATAATACCTAACAATGACAACTCAGAAATAATAACAGCTAAAATTACTTGAATATCTCCTAAATAAAAATCATTTTATTAAGCATTTTAAGTACATTTTCTGTAATTATCACAATGACTTTCTTTTCAAAAAAAGGAAACTGGGAGTCAGGTTAAGTAATTTGCCCAAAGTCAAACAGGTAATAAATAATTGGCGAAGCTTGGATTCAAATCCAGATTTGTCTCATTCTTCACCACCAGTTTGCCATACGTCTTAGCAAACAGTAAACTGTGCTAGAAAAAGAGATAAACACTTATGTCCGTTAACTTAATTCTATTACACGTAGAGAAGAAGCCTTCCTATATATAATGTTGGGGAATAATAACATTATCATATGGTAATTTATTTCTTTTTTCAGGTGACTTCAATTGCTACCTAAAAGCTATAAGCAAATAAGGTGCAGTAACTTAAACAACCAAACACAAGTAACAGTTACTTTTTAAAAAAATCAGTTAAAAATTACATGTTTAATGATGCTCTTCTTCAAAAGCCTTATTTCAAATATACTCCAAATGCATCAAAAATTTTTAATATCCTTTTTTGAGATTTTATTTAGAGTCTTTTATAATTACAACAAATAATAATTATGACTTACTATTCCTACTGGGCTAGGTGACATGGTGAATACAAAGAGCCCCTTCTTCTCAAAGAAACAAATATAATAAAAGGCAGAATAAATGAATGGTATACAGCTGAAAGTGAGGAACGATCCCTGTGAGTGGTTGTGGTGATTAGATACTCCAAAAAAAGAAGGTAAACAGAAAGGAAGAACAGGAACATTCTAAAGACTAACAAAGAATAAGGAGACACAAATGTCAAAAATGAGATTTGCAATAAACTTTATTTTGGGGAAGAGTAGTCAATTTATGGAGATGGGAGTCTTTAAAGAATGGATTGGGGCAGATATGAGACCAGAGGGAAAAAGACCAATTAAGAGTACAGACGTGATATAGAATAGAGATTAAAGGTCCTCATCCTCTAGAGACTGAAGTTTCTGTACATAGAGAATTCAAGCCTATAATATGAATTCACACTGGGTAGAGGTAATGGTGGGACCATTCAATGGGAGATACCTAAGGCAGTGAATAAGGCAAGTGCACCAGTACATAAAAAGGAAAAGAGACTTACGAAACCCTAAAAGTGGCAATGGAAGCTTTTAGTTCCATAAGAGACTAGCAATGAGTAGGAGCTCAGTATGTGATGATGATGAAGAGCAGGGTTGGGCTCATTGGGAACTGGAAAATGGGTATGAGGGAGTTGGGCTAATTGGCAATATTTTGGAAGAGAATGGATTTAGAGGTTTATAGGACAGGTAGGAAGCCTATGACAAATGGAAGAGGGAAGGGTGGAATGATGCTTGGTTTAACAAAACAGAACATACACACAACCAACACCGCAAAAATACAAACAATAAGAGAATATTAAGAGCAATTATATGTCAACAAATTGGGCAATCTCAAAGAAATGGACAAACTCCTAGAAAAATATAAAATACCAAAACTGAAACAGGAAAAAGTACAATATTTGAACAGACCCATTACCACTTAAGGAAATTGAATCCGTAATCAAAAATCTCCCAATAAACAAGAGTCCAGGGCCACATGGCTTCCCAGGGGAATTCTACCAAACACTTAAAAAAGAGTTAATAGCTATTCTTTTGAAGCTGCTATAAAAGTAGATATGGAAAGAAAACTTCCAAACACATTCTATGAGGCTAGCATTACCTTGATTCCAAAACCAAAGACCCCACTAAAAAGGAGAATTACAGACCAATTTCCCTGATGAACACAGATACAAAAATTCTCAGCAAGATACTAGTAAACCGAATGCAACCACAATTTAAAAGAATTAGTAGCCATAATCAATTCGGATTTATTCCTG